AAAAAAATACAAAATATAACTTTTATTGTCAACTTGGTGTTTTAGTCTCAACTGGAACCTATCATCATCATCATCATCCCCAGAATACATTGCATCAGTAAAAAATGTTGACATGCTTAAGTGAAAAATGTTATAAATATTAAAATTTTTAAAGTTATTCTTTGTTTTCTTGTGTCACAAACAACCTTTACTAGAAAAGAGAAACAACAACATATTAGCTCCAACATGTGACCGTAGTCAGAGATCCCTATAATGTCATGTGATGAAGGGGGGTTGAGTACGAAGAATTCTTTGGTTATTTTAAATAGCAGCTAACTGTAGCACTTCCTCATCATGGAGCAATAATACACCTGGATAATTTTCTCACAGCCCAGCTTCCAAAATAGCTTTATTTTCTAAAAAAAAACACAGTAAATCCTTTCCTCACCTCAGATCAACAAGAAAAACGGCATTTTCTTTAAACAAGCCTCTATGTAGAAGCATTACTTAGAATGTAAGTAAAAAACTTCTTCTGTAATCCCTTTCAGGTTAATCAGCTAAAACTTAACATTCTTCCATTTTCCTGCATTGTTTTTCCTTCTTCATTTGTAAATGGCTTCTTGTGAAACAAGTTAATTTAAAACCCGACTCTCATCTCAGCGTAGCAAGCGTCCCTCTTCTCTGTGAATTTTCTGACTAGGGTTTCCTAATTATGTGTGCAGATTATTCCACCAGGATGTTGAATTAGCAGCTGGGATGTTATTATAATGAATGCAGAACGGAGCCCTCAAAGACTTTGGAAAGTGGTTGTTTTTCACAGAACAAAATGGAAAAAAAAAGAGTTGTTTTTTTCATGTTGCTCAAGGGTCAACACAAAAGCAGTAATTATCCCTGAGGAGCAAAAAATAAAAATAAAAGAACATAATAATAATCCTCTATTGCAGAACTACTGACTGTCCCAACATTGGATGGAAAGCATCCGTTAAAATGTCGAGCGGTGGGGAAACAGCTAACAGCTTGATCAGTCTGGTTTCAGCTTTAACGCCGGACAAACGGCCAGAAATTGTCCATTTAACTGGCTCAGATGCACAACTGCACATGTGCAGACGTCCCTCTGTGAGTTGGTGGGAAGGAAACCTGATTAATTAGCAGTTTAAAGTGTGATCTCAATCAGCTCCCTTCATCTGCTCTGTGGAAAGTAGCCTGCTTGGCCTGCTAGTTCCTGTTAGCAAAACAGAGCAGCAAGCACCCCAGTGAGGGAACAAACTCTTTAAATCGTATAGGGTTGAAAGCTCATTATTCAACCGCAGCCTGACATAATCTGTTTTGTTTTAGAAAACCCAAAAATAATTTGAGATTCATAATAATCTAACATCACAGCCTTACTCCAGTAAAATAAACTTGATGGAAATGCTGTGGATTCAGACAAATCTGGTCTCTGATTTGAGTAAAGGACTCACTGGAAAATGTAAACTCAGTTAAGTCAGATCTATGATCCAGGTTAAAAAAAAAAAAAAGCAAAGTGGAAATCTACATTATTTGAAAATGATGGTTTATTTTACTGCTATCATTATTGTGATATTCAGTTACAACTTTGCAATCTCTTATTTTCTGATTATCCACCAGTTCTTTGGTCAAAATCATTTTAAAAATGCTAAATGGAAGCTAAATTATCCACAAGGTGAACATTTACCATCTAAAGTTGCACAAGAAAATATTAACAGCAGCAAAGACAAGGAAGGCAATCCACAAATAAAACTACGGACTGAATCAAACAATTGTTATAAGAGAAAATATTTATTTTTTTGAAATTTGGCAAATATTTTTGGGCACATTTGTTTTGCATTCTGCAAGTTTAATGAGTTGGCTCCATTTTCTCTCATTTTACCAGCCAGTTTTATTTTCATGGACCAATTTTAATAAACGTGGCAGGAATAGAAGTTGAGCTTCTAACTCTAAATATTATGATGTGTAAATGTAAGGTTGATCCATTCATATTTTATTTACAGAGGAAMATTACAAACATACCTAATGTTTAAACTTAGCATTTTTTAATAAAATTTTGAATTTGATGGCAACAATATGTTAAAAAGTTGGGATAAGTGCAACAAAAAGAGGTATAAATGAAAACAGTTGGCACAATATTTTATAACTAATTTGATTAATTTGGACATAAAAACAACATCTCAGAGAGACTGGGTCTCCTTGAAGTAAAGATGGGCAGGGGTTGACCTGGTTGAATAAATGGAAAAATAATTGAATAATTTCAGAATAACCTTTCTCAAGGAAAGACTGTCAATCTCTCACCATACAGTTCATAATCTCATCAAGAGATTAGACAAAACTGTAAAAATCTCTGAGCCAATGCATTAAAAATAGGTCAAGATCAAAGCTCATTTAAAGCAGAGAACTGTTCTGTGGTCAGATGGGTCAAAAACCAAGAATCTACTTGGAAATCATGAACGCTGCGCCCTCCATACTAAAGGAAGAGGGACAATCCAACCTGCTATCAGAATACAGTTCAAAAGACTGCCTCTCTGATGGTATGAGGGTACATTTGTGACTGTAGCATGGACAGCTTACACACCTGGAAAGACTCCATCAAGGCAGAAAAACAGGGGTGGACATTTCCCTGATCACCTAATAGCTAAAAGCAAAACATTTTTTTCATTTAGTAGATTCGCTTTTTCACTAACTTTGAAAATCTTTAATGGACCAATTAGCTTGCGCTAAWTTAGGTTTTGTCAACTTTTAGTATGCTAAAGATAACTTAAAAAAAAAAACATGTTTTTGTCAGTCCCTCCAGTTTTCAGCTTTAAGGAGACAAAGATGTGTGACACAGACTGAATGACATCAGAGTTAGAATTAGCTATAGCCAATTTCTTCTTTAGTTGTTTAGTGTTAGCTTCCGCTACATTTTTACTTGGCAGATTATGAGTTAACAAAGCTAACTTTTTGATTATCTATGCCCACCACTGAAGAAAAATWTAAATAGGTTTTAGAACATTTGCTACCATCCAGGTGACAGCTTTTTCAGACAAGATGCTGCACATTTCAGCAAGACAACTGATGTATCCTGATAAAAGAAGTCCAGCAAAAATAAATCAGGACTACTGAAGAACTAGAATCCCTCATCAGGCAAGAATGGGAGAAAGTTCCCACCAAAATCTCCAAAAATTATGTTTGCAGATTGGTGTTTTAAAAAGAGTTTATTTCCAAACTTTTTAAAAACGTTTAACTTTACAATTTCTTAACGTCAACATTTATATTTTTACAATGTTCCATTGTAAATAAAATCTGGGTTGTTATTAACATTTTACACAAAATCCCATCTGGTTTTCTTTTGTGGGGGAACTGGGTTTGTACACCCAGTGATTTTGTGTGAGGAGACGTTCACAGAGAACCAGCACAAGTTAGAAAAACAATCGTTAAATCCAGGAGTCGCTCGGTGAAGTAATCATTGAGTCATTAGTATTGATCAACACCTGCCCACACACAAAAACACTCCACCTCCCACCAGATAAAGGATAACAGTCTGATTCTGTGTAGCGTGATAGAAATCTAGCTGTTTTTTTTTTTTTTGTTCTCTAGCCATCAACCTGAAATGATTGGAGCTGTCAGAGCATGTGTAAAACCAGTGTGGAGATGGACTGAACTGACTTCTACTGCAGCTTCCTGTGTGTTTTGTTAGGTAAAACACATACGGGGTGAGGGTCAAGAAGCCCAGCGCCGCTAATGGAAGTCGTTACGGCACCTGCGCAGGCAGCAGCCCGTGACAAGCGTCAGAGTGGAGGGTTGACGTGCCCGGAGACTCGTGCTTTATAATTCAACGCAGCCCCCCGGAGTCTTCCAATCGGATGACTTTCTTCTTTCACAAAGGACAGGAAAACGTAGCCAYGAGCACATAATTTCCCACTGCAATTTGGGTCATCATCAGCTGATATTTTAGGATACAACAGCCTGAAGTCACTCGAGCACGTGTCGACATGACGGGAGATGAGAGGGAAGGGGGAAGAAGAGGAACATTTAGCTCGTGAATTAGCAAATCCAATCAGATTTATGATAGCTGTCTGGATGGGGTGGGGGTGGGGGGGCCTCGGGAGAGGACAGTGTTACTGTAATAGCCGAGGTTAACGAAGAAGAGTGGTGAATCCTCTCCTGTGTGAAAAGATCTGAATGGAGGAGCGTGGATCTATGGAGGGTATTGATTGTTAGAGCACGGCTGCAGCTTTAATCTATCCTCTAAAGCGAGCCTTCTGTCTGAGGATTGGAGGAAGCGGGAGTGTAGGGAGGCTGCTGCTTGTCTCTCTGCAGCCAGGCAAAGTGCTGGCAACACAAGATAAAGATGCACATATTCCCTCATCCATCCCCCCTCCCCAATACGGTCATCATGTGATAGTGTAGTGGAGGGAAACGAAAAAGACTGCAGCGAGCAAGAAAAATAAATGTATTGCATGAGACAGAGTGCATTTTAGAGTAAAACACATTTAAATCCCCTCACCATGTTGACTTCCGATACCATGTCTATGCTGGCCACGTCTATGCTCATTCCCACTGCAACAGGGGGTCCTGGAAGAGGGAACACAGTTGTATTTAGGCACCTTTTGCTCAAGTCACAACTAGTTCTCAGTTAAAATCTAATCAGTCAGTCTATTTACTGTGGTCCAGATCCAAAACCCAAACAAAGACTCATCATAGACCCAAATCAATTTGTAAAGCAATCTGTGTATTACATATATTACTAAATTTCCCTTTAGGATCAATAAAGTATTTTTGAATTTGAATTTGAATTTTTTTACCTGCACAGATAATCAATTTTAAAAGGTGCAGCTCTTCTATTCTTAACGATAAATGGTCCTCAAATAGTACACCACTGTCTAGACACAGAACCAATGTCCTATGTGAACCTAGATGGATTAATGAATTTTAGTAAAATGTTTCAGCTGTGCAGATTTCATCACATTTATAATAACTGATTTTAATGATTAGGCATGAGCTTCCAATTTTTGATTCTCTAATCTTTATGGTAATAATCCTCAAAAAGAAAACTTCAATCCAAACCTGGACTTAGTATGGATACCAGTAAGTTGAAACTGGAAGAGAAACAGCATCCCCATAGGATGGTCCTGGTATAGGTTTTAACCCCCACCCCCAAAATGTTAGCAAATAGAACTTTGCCCTTCAAATAAAATAATCGTTACTTTTAAAGAGCTGGTGCACTTCGAATGTTTAGTCATTATGTATTTACATAACGATGTAGACTGTATATAGTGAGGTGGACTAAATGAAGTGACATAGACCAGTRGTTCCCAACTCTGGTGCTTGAGGCCCACTGTCCTGCATGTTTTATTTGTTTCCCTTTCTTCAGAAATMTGTTATTCATACACATTCTGTGTGTCAAAGCAGGGAAACAACTAAAACATGATCGTGTTTCTCGATGACCAGGGTTGGGAACTACTGACATAGACCAAATTTAGTGACGTAGGTTTTACAAAGTAGTGTAGACAAAACACAATGATGTAGAATGTACATAGTGTCGTAGACTGTTTGTAGGGGGTATAGACTGTCCGTAGTGACACAGACTGTATTTTCTGATGTAGAATATTTGTAATGACATAGACCATTCATAGTGATGTAGACTGTTCATAGTGAGGTAGACTGTTCATAGTGAGGTAGACTGTTCATAGTGAGGTAGACTGTT